AAGGTATAACAGCAGCAGCTGAGCCGGGTCCGAGCAATAATTCCGCACAAAACCTGCGCCTCGATGCGTCAGGTCATCCTCGACTACAAACTGTGACCCATGGGAACGCAAGGGGACGACCAAGTGTACGAGGACGAGGTAGGGGCTCTCAGGGACGTACTACAAGAGGAAGGGCACGAAGCGGTCGTGGAGGTGCATTGGGAACGTGCAGAAGGCGTGCAAGCGGAGAAGGGAGGGCGGGAACAAATATTCAGGATCCAGCTTCAGGGTGGAATATTTGCACCTCAAGAACCAGTGAGGTGGTAATGGAGAAAGAGTTTGCGGATTCTATAATACGAGAACGTGCGAGGCTGCTTTGCAGCACAGCAGTTAATAAGATGAAGTTGCAATGCAACGTTAGAGGAATCACTCCCATTCGATCAGGATTTGTGGTGCTAATAATGAACGGAATACTGCAACAACTGACTGAGTGGATGAATGAGCTTGTCCGAATGAGAAACATGGAAACAATTATCACTATGTCGGACATGCATCGCTATGTTGCTGTCCTTTTGCTTTCTCACACAACCGGATTCAGTTTTGAAAAAACTATTATGATACAGCGTCAGAACGGCTGCGTAGCGCCTTCCTTGGAGATAACAAGGTTTATTGCGGACAACATTCTTGCGTTTTCACCTACTGGACGGGGAAGCGATGGATCAAGCACTTGGAGGGCGCAACGGGACAGAACACGGCAGCTTTCAGAGTTTGAAAGCCTTGCTTTTCGTGAATCTAGAAAAGTTTTCTTTGAGCCCATGCATTTGTTTGCGACTCTAGATGATGACCTGTTTGGGACCAGGGCTTCAGATAACCAAGTCAAAATGCTGAGCTCCAGAAAAGCTGACAGAGAGGGCCACTCAGCAGATGCTGTGGCCGATGCACTTTTCAGAATTGTTTTAACTATACGATTCAGAAGACGAGGGGAACAACAGACAGAGTCTGTTCGAAAATTACTTTCTGGTTTGATGGACGGGAGGGGAGAGGAGGCTCTGAATGGATGTATAGTTACTGCCGATCGCGGTTACGGGAAGCCCAATTTTATGGAGGTTCTTTCATCTTTCGGTGTTAGCTCTGTTTTTGTAATGCCAAATCATTTACTTCGAGTCCACCCATTTGTTGCTTCCTCCTATCTCGATCCAAGAAGAGGAGACTTAGAAGACACAGACGAATGTACTAGTGCAAGGTCAGATGACCTGGGAAATGCTTCTGCTGGAAGCAATGCACCTACCGAACAAATGCCTCTGCCACCTTCGGAAAATGTGGGGAATATGGAAGTGTTGTGGGACAGAAGAAGGAAGTTCATTATTGATGACAACCCCGCATTAGGACCTCATGCGTTCATTGCCACAAAAATGGCGGCTGCAGCGGGCTCTGGAAACCGAACGGGACAAAGAAAAATCACAGCAGTTGCTGTTCGGGAACACGGAACCGAAAAGTTCTGTAAAGTTCTTCGTTTCATGTACACGGTTCCTGAAGGGATTCAGGAAGCCCTTAAGAAATGGATTGCTGTGCCTAAAAGTAATGAGCCATTACGACACACCCTTTTCTCAAAAAAAAGTGAGAAGCCACCGGAAGTTCAAGTTTTAATGAGTGCAGTCGAACAAAAACTTCTTTCAGTATGTTCGGTTCTTACGATCGGACAAAGGTGTGCAGACTGGTTTATTTTGCGACAGTTTCGGATAACGGGAACTAATGCTGGTCTTGTAGCAATGAGCAGCTCAGCAGTGAGGTTGTCTTTGGGTTTAGAACCGGCTTCTGCCGACACGGAGAATTTGCCCGAACAGTGGCTAGAAATTTTTCAACGCAGCTGGTTTAGTTCTAAGGTTTCGACAGAGCCTATGATGCGAGGCAGTGCAAATGAGAATACTGTACTAGCTGCTCTCAGATCAATGAGTTTTATCAGAGATGTTTTCGAGGTCGGCTTGCTATGCTTAAAAGATGTGCCTTTCCTAGCTTGCTCCCCAGATGGCGTCGCTATCCTGGATGAAGAAATTGTAGAAAGGCTAAACCCATTTAGCAGTATTGACAATCATAATGTTACTGGAAACATGGAAGTACTTGCATCTGTCGAAATCAAGACCAAGGTGACTGCACGAAGTTTAGCGAGCTCTATCTCTTTGTCATCTGGCGATCCTGTGCTTTGTACAGTTGGTGACGAGCTATTCAAAAAATTTGTCGCGAAGGAGCACATGGCTCAAATGTTACAGCAAGTGATAATTCTAGGCCTGCAATACTCTTTCTACCTTGTTGCTTCTGAAACTGGCGTGTTGTATACAGTGCTTATCCACTGGTCTCCGGATATCATTGAAACATGTCTTGCCGTCTTAAAGTTCACTTGTGGTCCAGTTGTGTCATGGGCATACGAGGAGGGCGCACCAATACCGCAGTTTGTAAGTAGTGAACAACGCCCTGTTATTTCTTCGAGGCATTCGTTTTGGAAAATGATTGATACCCATGTCAAGGTACACGGCCCATTTGTGCCTTTGAAGCTATTCAAGCATGCTTCACAGAGTTTCTATTCTAAGACAAAAGCAGGCGTCGACGGTGCTACTCAGCAAAGAGCAATACTGCGATGCTCAACTTCTCACTTCAAGTGGGAACAGAAGCTTATCTCGCAGACTCTTAAAACGCTGGCAATTAACGCATTTATTGGTTGGCGCATGTTTCAAAGAGAAGACTTGTTGGAGTCATCTGACACATTTCGTTCACTAGACCACTATCGTAACCTTCTAAACAAGGTGCAATCTACTGCTGACTTCATGTTTGATGTCTCGCTGGAACTGCTAAACCATGCTGCTAACATTCTGGTTGACAACCAGAATGACACCGGTATCCTAGGAGTGGGCGAGGCTGTATCAGCTACAGAACTCGACCGGCTTATGTCTCTTGCATTTAATCGAAAGAAAAACCGCATCAAATTTTTTAACAGCACTGACGGTGCACTGTTACGTCTCACTGTTCGTGGCCATGTACCAATGCAGCCTGGGGCGCTCAAATACTGCGCAATGTGCCGGAATCACAGAAACGGGTTTCGAGGTCACAAATCCTCTTTTTCCTGCCGAATGTGCTCGGTTTATCTATGTGTAAGAACATTTATAGGTCTTCGGAAGAGTTGTTGGGACATTTGGCACTCTGTGAAGCTTTTAAAACCGAGAAAGACACCAGCTTCTTTGCCTCAAATCAGCAGCACAAACAGTTCAATTGGTCACGACGCAGGGGGCGGCAGCTACGAGGAAACGGAGAGTAGTGTGCTTTTAGGTACACAAGAACAAAGTCTAATTGTCGGTGTCAGAACAGGAAACCCGGTTAATTTGTCGACAGGGGCGGTGAATTTGTCGCCAGGGGATGTTCTATCGCCCGACAGTGTGCCTGGATCAGATGCTATTTTACCAGCATCTGAAAGAAGAACGAGAAGCTCACCCTCTACTGCTGCAAGAAGGCTACAAAGCGCAGGTTCAAGTGCTGAAAAAAGACCGCGCACCACAACAGCAAGTAGACGTCCGACTAGAGACAGTGGCAGTGAGCAGATTGTGGGGGGTTCCGTGAGAAGAAGCGTTCGCAGGAGGGGCAGTCAGCAATAAGAAACGTAAAATGATATCTAAAACCCGTTGATTCTGTGCTTGAAAAGGGGTTTTAGCTGTGTGAAGTATACTTCATATAAGGTATATGTGAAGTATACTTCACATAACCGTTTTTCGAGCGTTCTCGAGAGTCTTCGAATGGCAATGTTGTGACTCATATATCTCTTCAGATTTTTATTCAAACAAGACCGCCCTTTTGGGGGTGGATAGAGTAAGGCTTTTCTGTGCGGCAACGTAAGAAGTTTTGAAAAAAGCTTCAACGGGGGCAAGTACAAGCACTCAGAAATTTATGTGAAGTATACTTCACATAACTTCCTGGCATTAGGGATATACGGACTGCAACAGCCACATATTATAATAATGGCGAGAAGCAAAACATTTGCATGTCACAACATAAAATATCAATTTTCACTTAAACTTGAGATCACGTGACCTCAATTCACCTGGAGAATAATATGTACCACAATTTAACTAGCCTTCAGAAGATATGAGGAAGTCCAAATGGAAAGAGCTGAGTTTACGCTACTGCTCATCCGCGGTCGCGGGCCAACTGAAGTTATTTGACATTCAAACCCCACAGGTTTAGTTGCACCATGCTCCCCAGCGTTACGATGCAAACACCCACTCCGCTCGTTGACGAGTTGCCGACAGACCTATGGATTTTCGGGTACGGTTCTTTAGTGTGGAAAAATAGCGATGTGCCCCATGTAGAGTCCAAGTTTTGTTTCGTTAAAGGATATAAGCGTCGTGCCTGGCAGGGCAGTACCGATCATCGAGGCACTGTCGATGCTCCAGGAAGAGTCTTCAGTATATATACTAAAGCAGACTTTGACGTTATGGGGATCGCGGCTGAGGATAGCGCAGAGCTACACCCGCACTCTGATGATGCCTGGCGTGTGAGCGGACTTGCTCTCAAAGTTACAACGGAGCATCGCAAACAGGTACGTCCTCCCTTCTGCACTTGCCTTGCGCACTTCCATGATCTCAAGATGTTTAGCTGCGAATACGTCACATGAGTGTCGTGCTTTTCAACACTAAACAGTTTGTCAACGTAATCTGTCTGTAGTGGGTCCGATTTGTGCAGAAAAGGATGAGGTTGTACCTTTGCACATGGATATCGTGAAACCACGTTCTGACTAAGGCTAATCGGATAATGTACTTACACAGGTCATCGAGTCTCTTAATGTAAGGGAGATTGATGGATATGAGCCAACGTGGCTGCCATTGCATGTTGACTTTGCCGGCAGTGGGGACTCTCGTATGTTTGTCCCTCGTGCTCTTACGTATATAGCATCACCGTCCAACCCTCGTTTCCTCGGGTTTGCTCCGCACAAGGAAATTGCTCAACATGTTTCCCTTTGCAGTGGCATGTCTGGGCACAATACCGATTATATTCTCAACCTAAGCGATGCTTTACATACGACCGGACTTTCGGATCCACATATCACAGTAATTGCCAATATTCTTCGCGCTCAACGAAATGCATCATGAGCTGCGGCGAATTCCGTAGAGGTTCATATATAATGGAAATGATATTAAGGGCATCATCATATAGAAGGGTGCTGAATAAGCCCTGTTTCTTATAGATGTACATGAGCAACCGACAAGGAGGCTGTTGGCAGCTATCAGATTCAAGATCTCTCTTAGACACCGCTCTGGCCTTTTTCTGAAGTGAACTTGATATGCTTCTCAACATTGTCTATTCCTACGGATGGCTTTGTACTTGCCAAGGCTAAGTCAAAGTCATGTCTCGACACGATGGGGACATGAAGCTCTTCTGGTGAGACAGACATCAGCGACATTTGCTGACCCTCTGGATCCCCTGGAGAGCAGGGTGCCAATCGCTTGACCATACCTTGCCCCTCTTCCTCCACCATGATCCATTTGAAAAATTCTGCATTTTGCAGAGTACGAACTGGCTGCATAATAGCGTCGCGGACGAGGATACCGATGTCAGCACCAGAATAACCCTTAGTGGCGGTGCCTAGTTCGTTAAAGTCATTCTCCGTCAAATTGTGGGGTGTATTGCCCAGATGGATTTTGAACATTCCAGACCGTGCATGCTCTTCAGGGAGCGGAATGTACACACGCCTTTCCATACGACGTAAGAGAGCGTCATCTAGACCCCAGGGAATATTTGTTGCTCCGAGCAGCAAGACTCCATCCGTGGACTTCCCTACACCGTCCATCTGGACGAGGAATTCTGTCTTTATCCGGCGAGAGCTTTCCGACTCATTGTCACTCCTACTGCTCACAAGAGCATCAATTTCATCAATAAAGATGATTGCTTTACCCGCCTTACGAGCCATAGCGAAAAGCTCCTTTACAAGTTTTTCACTCTCTCCCTGCCATTTGGAGACAAGATCACTAGAGGAAATGGAGAAAAACTTTGCGTCTGCTTCAGTGGCAACTGCTTTTGCAAGATAACTCTTGCCTGTACCAGGAGGTCCGTAGAGTAGAATGCCTTTCCACGGCCTCCTTTTTCCGACAAACATCTGTGGGAACTTTTGCGGCAGAATGACGGCCTCTTTCAAGGCGTCCTTTGCACCTTCGAGACCAGCTACATCATCCCACTTCACATTTGGCTTTTCAGTGAGAACAGCACCGCCCAACTGGTTTTGAAGCTTATCCTCTTCATTCTCCTCGTTTTTCTTTTCCTTTTTCTTACTAGTCGTAGCTGCACCCGAACTAGACGAGCCGTCTCCACCCCCACCCCCATTCCTCTGTGTCTCATCATACTTTTCCAGCCATTCCTTCATAACCTCCGCCCTGTCGACATAGGAATTAATCTTAGAGCGGAGAACCTGCTTAGTCTTGTCATTCTTCTCATACTTCAGGGCGGTGTAGTAGTAGTCGATAGCGCGTAGATAGCTGTTCTTGGCGTTGTCGTACTTCTCAGGGTCATTGGCCTTGCAAGCCGCGCGATCATAGTCGATTGCTTTCTGTGCGTGGGTGACGCCTTGGTCAATGAACGTGCGAGTATCTCCCATTTTCGCAGGTGCAGAACGCGATCGCTATGAAATCGTTGGGTTCCGCGTGAATAAAAGAAGGAACGGAAAGGGAATGTGGAGAAAGTCTCGACGTGCATGAAAATGGAGAAGAAACTTTGCTTGTTGCTGCAAGAGTTTATGTATGCCTTTTGCAGACGAAGAAAATGACAAAGTCGTGCTGTCGCAGAAGTGCGAACAGTCAAGGGGATTTCGTCTTTGTCCGCGGTCGTCACAAGTGTTGGAACCTCAGCTCTGCGAGTGCATGACCTTGACACATAATTTTTCTGTATTGCGTGGTGCCCAGCGATGAGAGTGGGCAACAATAATATTTTTAGCACATAATATTACACTATTTATGAAAAAATTGGACTGGGGCTGACCAGCCATGTATAGTATACAGTACATGGCTGGTAGTGCCCCAGTCCAGATTCAGGAAAGTGGCATTGCTGCCCCAAGCATGGACAAACCCAGAGCAGCTCTTGGGCAGAAGAGTTACTCCGGTCCCCTGCCCAGCAAGCACCCTTTCTGACACATGGACATGCTGAGAGTGTGATGCAACGCTTATCAAAAATGATTCCGTTAGACAGCGGTGATACTGTATTGTTACCTACTGTGAATGTATTGCAGGTGCCCTGACGCACTTATCGTAAACTTTACTGTACCTCTGTAACACACACCGTGCAAGACAACCATCAGAAAGTGCATATGCGGAGACAAGATTCCCCCCGCCCTCCCCAAAACAACCCTTTCGAAACCTCTCTTCTTTTGGAGTGCATTCGGATAACAAGTTGCAGCGAGTCGAGGTATGTACAGGCAGGTCTACACCCACTGCAATGTTGCCTATATCGTTTCGAAAACGGGAAACGTCGCACCCAAGTGTGACGCAGTCCAACTCCCCGTCTTCTCTCCCGGCGAACACCATGTCTCTCTTCGCCTGGCTCATTGTTAGCTCAGATGTTCTTTGATGCCTCTCCGGCCAATAAGCGTTGTAAAACAGGTGCCTTTCCTTGTACTGTATCTTGAGACCTCCCGTTCCACAAACTTTTCAGTCGGATACGGCCGTTCACCTCCATTGCTTTAAACATTCAAAAAAAACACAGGAACAATAGACTCGTGAGGTTCCCTGTACAGTGTGTATATTACCGCTCAAGAAAGCGCCGCCTTGCGAAGGTCGTGTTCGTGCCCTTCGAAAAAGTAGGAGAGCAGGATCGCGAGATCTCAGATTTCGCATAAAACATAAATTTAGAGCTCGCCTAGTTTTCCGTCTAGAACGGCATTCCAACAAGATAGCAATTCTTCTTCTTGTCACATGCAGTAAACTGTAGACGCACTGTAACTTTACTCTCTTGATCATACACGTCGTCGTTCTCGTCACTTTGACCTCGTCCTCCGCGCCGGAATCGAAACGGTTGGCTTCCAAAAACTCAAATATTATACTCTGTATAACTCAGCTCTGGGAGTATCAAGCTATGACAAGGTGCAGATTTCTTCGCTTCTTTTGGCGAAAAAAACAAAACCAAAAAAATGTTAACAGTGTGTCACTTAACATGAGCTGCCGCCTACTGATGCAGAAAAAGCAGAATTCGAAAGTGTGGTGTTTGTTGCGAAATGAACTCCTTGAAGAGGTGGCGGAGGTCAGCTAATGGTCAGCCCATCTGAACCGCTTTTCAGTTAGGTCTTTCACCCTCGAACATAGACATTCAAGACTTGTCTTAACAGGGCCGTGTTGCTTTGTTTCTGCACTAGACGAAGTTTTGCCTCATGTCAGGTGCAAGTACTTCAAAGTTTCTCAAGATGAATAAGCGAGCGCGTTTTGTATCTTTTTTGACAATGAACCCGCAGAGCCTTTCAGAGCACCCTCAGGGGCCTCCTACTAAGAGCGTTTTAGCCCTGCATTTTGGCCAGTTTAAGAGATGTTGGAGACTTTCTCTCAGGAGGTCGCATGTGCGGACGTGCAAAAAGTTTTCTGGAAAGAATGCCTCTTTTTACCTATTTTTGTGACAATTTTGACGACTAATTCATGGCGTGCTCGAGATACTATTTTCTCATTCAATTTCGCAACCAGACGCTCCAACTGGTTAAATGGAGAGGAAGGTGATGTGCCTGGCATTGGCCTCAACCAGACAAATTTCTCCATCCTCTCCCAGATTTTGCCGTATGGGCCACGCAACACGTCATCACATCACTCTTAGTCCAGCGCGACCTCAGCCGCGGCCGCCTCTCCTCCACCGGAAATACTGAAGCATCGCACCCTTGCGTGCGTCAAGACAACCTCAAATTGAGCCCTCGCCTTCCGCACCGCAAGCAATGTGCCCCTCGTGCTAATGAGAAGTAACATTCCCGGCGCCCTGAATGCCTCCTGGAACTTGCTGTTATGCCTGTCGCCTTTCTTGTCCGGGTGGCCTTGCTCCTCGCTGGAGCTGGGGCTCTTCATATCTGTCATCACGTACGTCATCTCTTTCCGTTGTCCGATTTGTTTTTGTTTTGTTTCTTCCCCGCGGATGTGTTGTGTTTCACATTGCCGATGTATGTGCCTATAGGTACGGTGCTAAACGTTTTGTTTACTTCGCCCTCGTAGAATGACTTTCACGCTCGGTACACACAGATAAACAAGTACAACTCTCACTGCCATGCTCAAGATGCGGAGGATGGCAATTGTTTTTCCTCACTGGCCAGGCTCCAGTCCGCCATGAAGGTACGCAACTGACATCCTGCACATTCTCGTTGCTCTCTTTTGCTTTCATCGTTCTGCAACTCGTCAAAATTCTAATTTCTTGCTCACATGATAACCCATACAACACAGATGGCAGACTGCGATGTACGGGTCTTCGCCGGTGATTTCGTGCAGGGCTCCATTTACGACTCCGTCTTCGGCACTGGCCTCGCCATAGCAGCCTACAACGCGGTCGGCTACGACATTGTTACATTTGGAAACCACGAATTTGACAATGGCGCGCAACCAGTCTACGACACAATTCTGGGGACTCCCAACATAACATGGCTTTCTTCCAACGTCTTCTTCGACTCCGCGCCTCCAGGTTTGTCTATCAAGCGAGTTCACGAGGCTGCCGACATCTGTTGGATATCCGCCCTTACGCAATCCACAGTAGACATTTCGAGCCCCGGCCCAAGCGTATTTATCCATGACCCGGTCTCTGCCATGTACGATGCGCTTGCGTCTTGCTCGCAGACTGATAACGTCGTTGCCGTCACCCATGTGGGCTATGAACAAGATGTAGAGTTGTGCCACGCAGTGCCTGAGCTCGACCTTATCATCGGCGGTCATTCTCATACAGACTTATCTGAAGGACCGTACCCGTCCCCAGTCCGGCGTGAGGATGGGTCTATTTGCTGGGTGGTCACGGCTTCAGCCTATGGAAGGTATCTCGGCGTGCTCAACGCTTCTTTTAAGGATGGAAAGCTCAAGGTTGAAGCAGATACTTATCTGCCACTTGACAACCGCGTTCCACTCGATGCCGAAGTCAATGCTATGATTGGAGGCTACACAGAGCGACTAGCGGCTTCAGTGAAGCAAGTCATCGGCTACTCTAATTCACCGATTGATGGTTCGCGCTCATCATGCCGTTCACGAGAATGCGCCATGGGGAATCTGGTGTGTGATGCGATGCTGGCGTACGCAGGTCCTAAGCAGGGCGCTGACATATGCATTCAAAACGGGGGCGGTTTACGCGCCTCCATTGACAAGGGCGATGTGACAATCGAAGAAGTCTTTGAGGTTTTGCCGTTTGGATTGGTGCATACTGTGTTCAAGGTGCCCGGGGCGGGTCTCGTTCAGGCGCTGGAAATTGGTTTTTGCGCTATGGACAACACGGACGCTTCAGGGCGATTTCCGCAGGTTGGTGGAATGGCTGTGACAGTTGATTATTCGAAGCCCTCTGGGAAACGAGTAGTGAGTGTTGTTATCGGCGACGAAGCCGTTGACAATGAACGGATTTATACGGTTGTCACAAACTCGTTCTTGGCAGGTGGGGGAGACAACTACAAGTGGGACGGTGCGACCGATTTTGAAATTGATGGCATTGGGCTTGACAAACTAACAGGAGATTATATTCGAGCTCATAACCCGTACAGTCCAGCAACAGAAGGAAGAATACGAAACATTGCTAACATTGCTGTGGCAAAGCAGCAGCCATTGAAACCCGACATAGAAAATGTCTTTAACCACAATGTAGAGTACTTGTAAAGAAACTATCCGCTGTACAGACTTAAAAAATCGATGCCCAAAGACTTTTGTGACTAGATTTTATGTACTGGACTCGTGGATTCTGTGCTAATGCGCAAAATCTGTTTGTACCGACCTGAAGCGTTTGTCCCGTCCTCGTGACTTTTTTGCAAAATGCCACCCCCCCTGCTTGCATTGCATCTCATAACTCGGATGCATTGGCCCACGTTGGTGTACATATCCAGGTGATCTAGGTGGAGCATCTCGAAGAGATATTGAGCATTCGCTTGTGATATATAGTATGAATTTACAAGTCAATAATAAGAATGCGACCTGGGTAGTGCGAATATGTATATCCGGCGCTCTACTCTACACGCTAACTGCACTGCTACAGCTCTTGCCCCACTAAAAGTGAATACAAGCGGAAAACTGCGTGCTCATGCATGTCGGTTCCGTACCCGACAGACCCTCCGCATCCTCCACACCCAGAGCCCTGACGAACGCTACGAAAGGATCACGATCCGTCCTGGCCCTTGTTTTCGGTGAAAGTGCGATATCTTTCGATCATGTCTCGCGCGACAGACGGTTTGGTGCTCGTCATGGCGAGGTCAAAGTCCAAGCACTTGACGGCCGGCGGGAGAATATCGTTCTCGTCAAGCTTCTTGAAAGCGGTTTGGACCGCGCCCGTGGCGTCGCGCGGGCACGGGGTGTGCTTTGTGGACTTTTTCCTGCCCTCCTTGACGGTGACTTTTTTAAAGTGCGTCGCATTGGTCACAACGCGCACCGGCTCCATGGCGGCATCGCGCACCAACATGGCCAGGTCGCTCGGCGAGTAGCCGTCGCACTCGTTGGCAATATTCTCGATCTCCTGCAACGTGATATCGTGCTCAACGGTTCTCAGGCCGACCTCCAAAATATGCGCGCGCGACGCCGCATCCGGCAAGCCGATGTAAACGCGGCGGTCGATCCTGCTCAACAGCGCGTCATCGAGTTGCCACGGGACGCGGCTGGCGGCGATGAACAGGACGCCATCATCGCCGGCCTTCCGCAAGGCCATAAGCTCATCTAACAGCTGGGCGCGGGCCTGTCGAAACTTGATAGAGTTGGCGCCCGTCAAGGTGACACCCAGGGCCTCCTCAAACTCCGAAATGTACAGCACGGCGCGCGGCTTCCTCTTGACGGTATCAAAGAGCATGCGCACGCCGGCGGCGCCTGCCGTGGCCATGAGCTCTAGGACCTCCTGCATGGGGGGCATAAACAGGGCGGCGTCGTAGGCGGCGGCGGCGGCGTCCGCCAGCACGCGCTTGCCGCAGGCCGGGGGGCCGTACAGCAGGACGGACCTCCAGCGCTGGCGGCGGCCGGTGAAAAAGGTGGGCAGGTGGTGCGGCAGCGTGGTGGCCTCGCGGAGCACGTCCTTCGCAATGGACAGACCCGCGACGTCGTCCCAGGAGGCCGAGGGCGCGCGCTTACCCGACGACAGCAGGGCGTCGACCTGGGCCGCGAGTTTGTCCGCGGGCGGGGGGAGGTCGAGGGCAGGGGGCGGGTCGGCGGAGACGTTGGCGGAGGAGGTGTTGGCGGAGTTGTTGGCGGAGGGAGTGGTGGCGGCAGAGTTTTTGGCGGCGGTATTGTAGGTGGAGGAGTTGTTGGTGGAAGAATTGTTGGCCGGTTCGGGGGACGAGAGGTACGCGGGGTTGGGCTGCGGCCCACCGATGTCGAGTTCCTCTAGCGAGCGATCGGGGTCGTCGTCGGGGTTGTCGGGCAGCAGGTCGGACGGGATGGAACCGCGGCTGGCGAGGCTGGGGTTGTAGGGCAGCACGCGCCTGACGAGGGACCTCTTCCTTGCCAGACGCTCCTGCTCCTGGCGGGCGTGGTAGGTGGCCAGCCAGTGTTTCATGACGTGGCAGCGGGCGATGTAGTCGTTGATGCGGGCGTGCAGCAGCGGGATGAAGGTCTGGTCGTGCTCGAGACTCAGGGCCTCGCGGTACAGCTCGATGGCCTTTTGGTAGTTGGCCTCTGCGCGCTCGTACATGGCCGGGTTGTTGGTGCTGCAGGCGTTCTCGTCGCTCTCGACGGCGAACTTGGAGTACGTCATGCCCTTCTGGATTAGATCTCTCGCCAGTGCGGCCATGGTGCATGGGCGTAGGGGGGGGGGGGTTGAAGGGGGGGGGGGTGGGGGGGTTGGGGGGGGTGTAAAGTTGCGAGAGGGAGGGGGCTGTCCAGGAAAAAGTGCTCTGGAGCGAAAAGGGTCATAAACGGACAGCAGTGGGGAAGCGGCCAAACAGGGGTACGTGCATGCGAGCGGAGCGTGTAGCAGAAAGATGTGAAAAAAAAACAGCAGACGTGTGTGTACCATACTGAGCGGAGAAAGGCGGAGCGGGGCCATTCCGCCCCCCGCGGTTGGATGTTGACAACAGCGTCGTACGCGGTGTGGGCGGCTTCATTGCGGGGTGCTGGAAAAAAGGGGCGCCGCGCAACGCCACCGCGCGCACGACATGCGCCGCCTGTATGTAAAGTTTATACAGTCGAGCGCGGCTCGCGCCGCGCGCAACGCGAGAGACGGGGGCGCGTCTACCCCCCACCGGCGCGCGGCGGCGGCGGCGGCGGCGGAACATACTTGTACAGTACAGCGCGCGCGCAGGGGGGGGGGTGGTCTCCGCGCGGGCGCGTAGCTGCGCGTGGTTGCGCGGCGGGGGCGGGCTGGACTAGGATCCGCTTG